TGGACAGGGCTCCTCTGAAGGGGCTGCTGACCATAAGGGTGTTTGGCTGAATCACTGCCCTCCTCCTCGTGGGATGCCCTGCCAGCTTTGATCTCCGGATCCGATGCCCCCGTGGCTGAGCAGCTGCTCACAGGGAATTTTCCAAGAGGGCTCTTGTCTCTGAGCTCGTTAGCTCTTCTGAGCTCATTAGCCCTTCCTCTTGGCTTGAAACACCCAAGCCCCAGTGACATTTGCTGCTGGCTGAAAAACCCCACCCCTTACTTGGCTCTTCTAGTGGAGGATGAGATTAAGAGATTCATGGCATAATACAGCCTTGTGGGGACTTTGGATTGACAGCTGGAGTAATTTGGGGAATAATGCCATGTGTGACAATTTTGACTTTGTACTTTGCACAAGAAACCTTGTCAGCTAGAGGCAGATAAATGGGGTTATCAGCTACAACACAAAAACTTGGTCTTACAGTTGTTTTTGTTCCATGTGAATAAAGCCATAAGACATGTTCAGGCAGGCATCACTCACTAAAGAAAAATACAAAGCTTTGCTATCTTTCAAACTGCTCGGACTTTGTCTTTTCTCTATCCCAAATAGAAATATTTTAATGCGGTTTCTAGTTCTTTTATTTCTTTTTATTTACCTGAGAGGCCCATATGGAGCTACTATGAAGCATCCCCCACTGAACATCCCCCCACAATGAACATTATTGATGGATTGCAAAGAAATGCCATAAAAATGGGTCCTAAGGTACTGTAGCAGAGCAAAAGACAATGAAAATTTAGCTGAAGCAATTGGAGCAGATATTGTCAATGCAGGAAAAAAAATGCCATCAAGATAAAGCAGCTCAGCACACCTTTACTCACAGCTACACCATGGATTAAAGTACATAGAAATATGGATCTCCAGCTTCATATCCAAAATCTCCTTCCCTATCAATATCCCTTAGCCCCGTACCCACCAGTGTCCTCTCCCTGTGCCAAAGATACTGGCAAGAGCTGAACCTTGGCTTTACTCCATTCCAAGAATCCCATGGAACTGAGAGAAGAACAGAAACTGGCTACTGTCCTGGACTGGGAAGAAAGCTCTGAGGTCTGAAAGGAGCAAATTTGGTGCCATTACTCTTAAATGCTAGAGGCACCAGGGTCAGCAGACTCTGGAGAGTTTGTGGAGGAATTTTGAGTGAGTTCTGCACTGCAGAGCTTACTCAGGTGGACAGACTCATTAACAACAATAAACATCCCATTTCCAGGCAAGGCTTGTAAAAGTACCAGGCTAATAACTGACTCAAAGCTGAAGTAACATTAAAAATCAGTTTTCCTGCACATTCATGCCAAACAAACCAGATCTGAGTTTCTGCAGACACTCAGAAGTCTCATTTGCAGTTTCTGGGCAGCAGGGAGGCTGTTACACAAACAGCCTTTGCTACAGCTTCCAGTGGGCTGAAAACAGGCTTTTCCAAACCATTGCTGAATGCTGCCCAATTGCATTTTGCCTCCCTGCTTATTTATTGGTTTACATTAGGTGATCCTGCTAGTGGTGTGGCATTGCATGGAAAGCATCAAAAGGAGGGTCAGAAGTTATCACAGCTCTCTTATCTCGTGGCCAACATCATTTCCCAATCACTGCACATCTGCCTTGCATTTTGTGAATTTTAGCACGTTGAAATCATTGTGGCTCAGAAAAGCTTTTCTGGAGCCTGCTTGGTTGCTTTACACGCAGATCAGTGCTGGTTCATGTCCTGCTCTCCAAGAGCTCAAGTACTGGAGTTACCTTGCAGTGCCATTGACACAGGAGGAATGTCTGAGTCCTGGAGTGTCTGCAAACCCCAGACCCTAAAGCTGAAGTGAGGCTGAAAAGCACCACCAAAAAGGGGTCAGAGAGAAGGAAGGACAGGACAGAACATAGCAAGTAGTGAACGAGTTCAGGCTGCGAAATCAAGTGTTACTATTTCACTTATAATAAAACAATAAGGAACTTTTTGCTGAACAGGTAAGAGAAAAGACAGAAGGGAATACCAGCTTTGAATCAAATTACATAATTCTCTCCTGATAATAACAAATAGTTTGTGTTGGAAATTAATAAAAAATGCAGCAATGGAACTAAGCAAAGAAAAAATATAGTCATGATAATGGGAAAATTCTGCAGCATTGACTGGAAGATATTACCAAACTGATTGACACTGATTTTAGACACTTGCTACAACCTACAGCAAGTTAAAAATAAAATATCACAAAGTTTGGGTTTTGGAGAGAGAACAGTAGCAACTGAGGCACAGCAGTTTGTACACATGAGGCTGGAAAATAGTTTGGGGCAGGGCTTTGTGTTGTGATATATTTCTACACCTGAACCCTATTACCAAGAAATATTATTAAGTCATGAAAAGCTGGTTAAAAAAAATAAATTCAATTTTTTTTAAATAATACTGTTGAAGACCTGCATGCTCAGGAGTACTGCTGCTCGTTCAGAGTTTCATTTGAGTTTCCAGGATTAGAGACAGAGCAAAATAAGCCCTTCCATTACCCTGGGCAGCCTGCAGTAAACGCGAGGGTGACTTTCTTTTGACCTGCTGGTCTTGATTTTGGCGTCATGCCCTGACTTGAGTAAACGTGACTCAAGTGTTTTCTACAAAAATACAGTTTCTGGTTGTTGGGTGATTAACTATTTGTCCTTCTGCAGTCCTTCCTGCTCACCCTCAGTCCCACACTCCAGCGTGGCAGGAGGGATGAACAGTAAATTTGCTGGAACAACACCGCCAGCAAAACCAGCACCCTGTGACTTGCATAACCTTAAAATCACAGTGTACTTATATTTAAATTTAAAACCCACACTTTCTCAATCTGAATGATTGCCATAACAGAGACACCGAGGAGTTAATGCTGAGTGTGGCTCTGGATGGTGTCAGAGCCTTTGATACCCCATCCTGTGTCACTTCAGGGGTTCTGAGCCCCCCATTTGAGAGCCCGTGGGGCTGGAGCTGATGAGCACAGCCAGACCCTCAGCTCCTGGCATCAGCAGCTGCCAGAGAAACCCTGTGAGATGGGGATGGGAAGAGCAGCAGTCTCTCGGAGGGAAAAATGCCTGTTTGTCCCAGCTGAAATGCTTTGCAGCCGCTCTCAGACTTTGACAGCCGCCTGGGGAAGCGTGGGGGGAATTTGGGGAGATCCAACCACTTCACCTCTCTTCTGACCCCAAAGAATCACTGATGTGTTTGTGCATAAGGGCCAGAATGAGCCCACTGCAATTTCACAAGATATTTTTTTCCAAGAGGAGCAGTAATCTTGGTGTCTCCATGCTCTGGGGATCATGTCTGGATGCCCTAAGGGACTGAACATCAAATCTTTGGGTAATCAGGGGTCAGCACAGCCAAGCAAATTCAAATCTTTTCTCTTGTTTGTTTGGAGGGTTCCTCTTTAACACAGATCCATGACACTGCACAGTTTAGGTGAGAAACTGCCAGTTTCTGTGCATGGACATAGACCTCCTAGACCTTATCAACACGCTCAAAATTAGGTATTGTCTTGCTATCTATTCTTTTCTTTCTACTCTGTGGGGTTCTTCTAATGCCATAATCTTGTTTCTGAAAATCATACTGTTATTTTACTATTTTAAATTGCTATATAGCCATGAATACAAATCTATCTATTTCCATATTATCTGAGGTATTTCATAATTTTATAATCTTAAATTATTGCTTTCTTTGTAAAGACATCATCTCAGACATAACTGAATAGCTGAAAAACAGCATTTTAAAGTTAGAGCACTTCAGGGCTTTTTACCCCCCCCTGTCTGGAGCTCTCCTTCTCCTTTAGGTAACGTGCCGGGCAAGTTGCTTATAACTTTTCGCCCTTCTTTTTTTTAATTTATTTTGCAGGACTTCAATAATTTATTTTTCAAAATGTTAGTGTGAAGCTAAATTTATTAACTTTCTTTTGGGTGATGGAACACAAACTGTGATCACTTACTGAGCCTGGCAATCAACTATAATTTGAATATAATGTGGCCTCAAAATTAATAGCCCTGAAACAAATAAGAATAACAGACTCTAAAAAAATTACCAGAATAGGAGCCCAGCAGGCTCTCTTTAAATGTGTCTTTAAAAAAAATTGTATACTAATAATTCTATTATTCACTGGAAAAAAAGAATATCTTTCTATGTTTATTATATGCCCTGGAAAAGCCGCAGACTTTTACAATACTGCTTCTCACAAATCACTTCAGTTTAATGATATTACTGTACATTTCATCTCACATTTGAGTAAATATGTTTATTTCGTCCTGGAGAGAGATTTTATTTTAACTTCAAGATTATAATTCCTTACAAGTCTGTCACAGAACAACATGAGCTCTGCCAAATGGAAATACATAGCCCCCCCACCCTGTATGTTTAAAAATTAAGGATTTTTTCCTCCAGCACAGAAAAACAGTTATTTATTCTGACAAAGAAGGGAAGGACACTGATCAGAGACAATAAAGTTAACTGCTGCCTGAAGTCATAAACATCTGGTGGCTATTTTAATTGCATTGTGAACTAACCACAAAATCGTCCACTAAAGAATAAAAATATTTCCCCTGTGCAATACTGTATTTTAGAATTCTTCTCTTCTGAATCAACGTCAGACCTGATTACAGCACAATGAAGTCTGTGTTTCATGCCTGCATTTTCTTGAAAACACCACACACTCTTATTACAATTGCAGGATTTCTCAAAGCATCTCATGCAGACAAATTTTTCAGGTTACTTCTGGAAACACTGATTAGAGATAAAATATAATGCTTAAATCATGTAGTTTGCTTGCAGGTAAGTCAGACATATCAGTATGTCTGTACAGAAATACTGGACATTAGAAAGCACACAGACAATCACACAAGCACACAAATTTGTGTATATGAGATATCTGTGTGTATATATATATGCATACACACACAAAAAATGCAGATATTCAGACATATATATGCATATACATGTATATATAAGAGGAATTTAAGTAAGTAGTAATACAACCTACCTAAATGTGAATAGAAATTGTTGTTAATAAAATACTTGCATGAGTTGTACGAGGACCTTCTAAATGTCTGTGCTTCCTGGGGAGACCAAATGACCTCTTTTTTACAGATACCAAGATCAAAGCTCTTGGTTTAGATACTCCAGCTGTCCCTCTCGTTGGCATTTGACATGCAGCCCGGTCCATTTAAAATCAGGGGGCATGTAAACATTTTAACCCTTGGCAGCAGTATCTGAGAAAGATGCTGGCAATAAATGGTCGTAACTGCCTGGGCCAAATCACATTTGGTGTCCTCCCTTTGAAGTCCATGCAGGCACTGTACCCTATGGTTTTGACAAAGAGCCAAGTCCAAAAAAAGGATGTAGGCTCTCGAAGCTGTCCGGATGTGGACTTTGGGATCCAGAGTGGCTCCGTGCAGCTGAGCAGTTGCCTCTGAGCTTGCCACAAGACTCCCTGCCTGACCTTGGAGGCTTTTTTGCCTTGGCTCTGTGCTGGTGCACTCCCTGCATTGCCCCAGGACTCAAATCCCAGCGTTTTTGTACAAGCACAGGGGCACCTTCATCCCTCGTGAAACCTCCTTTGGTGGGTGTGCACAGGGGTAACACATGCTCATAGGATTAGACTCTGCTCTGAATTTAGTCACAGCTATTTATTTTATTTTTTTTTCTAAACCATTGCCACAGGAGGGTGCCATTTTTCTGTTTAAGCTCCAGTTGGGCCACGGGGTTCAAATATTCTGGATCCATCATGCCCCAGGAGAGCAGGAGGTGATGGATGTGAGCCCAGGACAGGTGTCCTTGCATGCCCACACCCCTCCCACCAAAACCAAATCAGGCCTGTGGAGACAGATAAACAAACAGCATCAACAAGATCCCATGGGTAAAAGTGCTACTTCTGATCCTCACCTACAGTTGTTTTCTGTCACATTTTGAGAAGAGATAGCAATGGAAAACCAGGACCCTTCTCTTCTGAAGCCCTGCTTTGGAAGAGTGAGTCTTTTCTCTCCCTCACTTAGCAGTCCTTGGAGAAACAGTGGTGAGACCCATCCTATGTGACCCCAGAAGGTACTTGGCTTCTGCACTAAGTACTCATTGTCTGGAGAAAGGATGAGCTCCACACCCAGATAAAGTGTGTCTCATGGGCTTGTGTGTGGCCTGAATGCCATTCTCCCATGCTGAGTCCAGCTGCTTGACCCACCTTCATTTTGGGCTCAGGTTCTTAAATACGCTTTCCTTTAAAATGCCAAAGTGTTTAAAGTGCCCCAGGACACCTGTGCAGAAGCCAGCTGTGGTGCAAAGACAGGCTGATGTGACACTGGTTATCAGAAGTTAGAGCAGACCTGTCACACAAATGCCTCATAAGGTGGTGCAGAACTTGTTCAACACCACATGTGGCCATGGGCAAGAGGAGGAGGGCACTGCAGGCAGGGGCACATCCCTCCCAGAGACACTTTTGTGGTTAGGAGGGTGCTGAGAAGCCAGCTCTGATGGTTGCTGTCTGGCACTGGAGTGGGGAGCTGGATGAGTCGCCAGAACTGGTCCTCAGGGAAAAACCTGAGAACTCATTCACTTCTTGGAGAACACTTGATGTAATCAGATGAAATGGCAGAAATAATGCCAGTGGCAGAGCCCCAGGATTTCCCCTTCTCTAACTACCAAAATTTCTGCTGCATCCACTCATTTGGTTTCTCCAAACATCTGAGTTTCAAGCCCATCCTCCTCCTTGCTCCTCCTGGTGGCATTTTCCTTGTGGACAGCCACTTCCATGAAGGATTTGCCTCCTCAATACCTTCTTTTAAAAGTTAGGATTCTAGAAAGAGATAAAACAATCTAACTACCCCATTTCAGAGTTTAAACAAATACACTTGGAGCTGCAGGATTTGGTCATTGTTAACTGGTTGTAATTGTATCAGTGCATTTATTACACTTCCAGATGATGTTACAGAAAACTATTGGAGAAGGATTTCCTAATAGTGCAAGCATAGATGGAAATATTGAAAGAAACCATGTCCAGGACTCCTATAATTAATACAGGTGTTTGTAGTCAAGGGATTGAAGAAATCTATGTAAAATCTTCAGTATTGGTGCTGTTTGAGAATCACTGCCTAACCAGAAAGGCTGGAACATGGATTCCAATCCTGCACTCCCTATCAGTTGCTGATATGGATCACTGGTCACAGCTCTAATTGACTGATTACACAAAAGCTCTTTGCAAAATCAAGACTAAGCCTCTACAAAGTGTGAGCTGCAGTTCCTAGGGACTGGCTCCAACCAGAGCTTCAAATTCATGTAGAGTCACCAAAATTGGATTTGCAGCCTGAAAAGAAAAACTTGGAGGATTTGTCCTGTGCATTTATAGAGTCTGAAGGAATAATGGATAAGACTAGAACAGCCAGATGAAGCATTAATAGCCATGGTGTAAATCAAGCAGCAGTGTTTAAAAATATATTTTGTGTCTGGCTTCAAGTAAAAAAAAGGATTTAGATCAGAATTTATGTTAAGTTTGGAAGATCAGCTTTTGATTTGCTGTTAACGAAATTCAGATGAATTTCAGGAAAAATAATAGCATGAAGTAGCACACCTCTGGAATATGATTTCAGTGATGGGGCTGTAAGCTTGTTTTCCTTTTACCTCTTTCAAAACAAATTAAATTAACTGGTGCTGTACCTACTTGCACCATAATCTCAAATTTAATTCTGCAGATGGCCTTGAGACATCTTTTCATCTGTTGCCTTGAAAACAGGAAGAAAATTAGAGGCAGAGAAAAGGAAGCATAATCAAAATTCCTGGTAGCAACTGAAGATCTGACTATCAAACTGCTTCATTGTCACAATTATTTAGAAACAAGCCATCTCACTTCCAGTGTGTGCTATGATCTCATGTGGCAAATGGTAGAATATCAGATCAGGAGAACAGAATGTATGTAATAAATAAGTCACATCAAGCACAATAAGATTTTGTGTTCTATTTATGCAGCATCACACTTCCTATTTCAAGAGAGCTAAGGTATGTTGGAAAAGACCCTCAGGGTTTTCATGGACATTTCAGCAGACCAAGAACAGATTCCATTTTACCACTGCATCCTAATAAATTCTACTAAACCAATGGGTTTCTCCTTCTCCTTCTCCTTCTCCTTCTCCTTCTCCTTCTCCTTCTCCTTCTCCTTCTCCTTCTCCTTCTCCTTCTCCTTCTCCTTCTCCTTCTCCTTCTCCTTCTTTTAAAATTCAGAGAGAATTTAAATGAGTTAGAGTAACAAGGAGTAAAAATACCTTCCTGTAAATCTTTGATGACTTCTCATTTATGGAAAAAGACAAATGTAATTTGGGACAGCAGATTTGTATTAGAATTTGAACCTTTACAACTGGAATGTCCACAATGGGTGGCAGCTGAAAGATCTGTTTTATAACCCCAACACTCCTTTAACAGCCTTACATGCAATAATTCCTGCATTCAATTTCCTGTACATGTGTACAACAGCTTGCCCAAGGGAATTGGGCTCCCCTAAAATCCTTCTTTTTCTGAGCTGTTGCAATTTCTATTTACTGGAGGAACAAAAAGGAAGGGAAAAAATCCTGTTTAAAAAAACCCCTCTCTGTAAGTTCCTGTACATAAATACAGTAAATACTTACTGTATTTATGAAGCAATGAACAAGTTTGCATTTCTTGCTTCCAGGGAAATGGAAAAGATCACAGCAAGATCCCACCAGGCTGCTCCACAACTCCAAGGAGGACAAGCCCTCCTCACTGTGAGAGCAAAGCTCTCCCACAAAAAGTTGTATTCCCCTTTCATATCTTCCAGTTGAGAATGGAAGAGGAAGGGGAAAAATGAGTTAAACTCAGCTCTGCACCTATTGGGGATAGTCCTGAGCCAGCTTTGACATGAAATGGTGAACATGTCATTCGGTTTTAAATATTTATCTTCTTCACAGTAGAGCTGCTCTGTCATGGCACACACTGTATAACTTAGAATTTATTATTTGGCATGGGAAATCATAAGGAAATCCTTTACTTAACAATGGAAAGTGTTTTCAGCCCATTTAATAACTGACACTTCCTTGTCTATTGTTGTTGGGTTTGATGTGGGAGCTGCTGGAGGGAATCAGGAGCCCTGGCTTTGCCCAGAGGACTGACCAGACAACTGATAAATCTCCTCTGGATGCATAGTTTGTTCAGAGCATTAAAAATAAATCAGCTACTGAACTACATAAGGAAATTGTATGCACTTGGTTATCTCTGTTAACTAAAGCTCCAGGCTTTTGGAGCTGGCATTTGGCAGACAAGGAGTCTCAGTGCTTTCAGGAAAACCATTTACGCCCTGTTCTGGGCACAAGCGTCAGCCCCACCAGGGCTTTGGAGGGACATGTCATGCAGGGCTCGTGGGCTTGAGGTCATCTCTCTTGGATAATAGTGCTGCCATCCAGAGTGGATGGCATCCACGGGTGGAGGTCATCTATATTTAAAGTCTGTGTGCCTATAGCTCCCTATCTGTATGTATGAAGCCCATAATATTTAACAGCTCCTCAGCCTGAGGTGTAATACAGGTGTTAAAGCTTTGAGCTAAGACTGGATCCATTTTTGGGTTTGTAACAGACACCACCTCTGGCTTTGGAACAGTCACATTCTCCTGGAGAAACTCAAGGACCCTTTGCCCACTTTGGAATGAGGGTGGTCTCCTGGATGGGTGGGCACTGCCAGGGAATTGCACGTGCAATTGTAACCAATTATATCTATTATATCTATTATATAGATGGTGGTAATAACTTTTTGCTTTTCTTCCCATTCTTTCAACAGACAATAACCACCTTAAAAATCATTTGACCAGGAAATGCTGCTCGCTGCACCCAAATACAATAAGAAGTCAAACAAAGCAGTCAAGATACTAATCAATTTTTCCAATTCCTTTAAAAAAACTTTGAGTTGTGTGGCAAAATAAACTCCCATCTGGATAATTTTTGTTGACACAATAGTGTACATTGTGTAGAGAAGCTGCCTTCTTTGATTTGTAAAAGGTAAATGGTTCTCAGCTCTCCAGCTGCACTATCAGGGAGAGCATTAGCGTGACTGCTGTGCCATTTATCTCCTGTGCCTCCTGACACGTCCCTTGTCCTGCTGTCACAACAGATATTACTGCAGCTGGAGACACT